GTGTGAGCATAAAAGTCACAGGTTATGGCCGTGATAATGGATATCTCATAAACAAATGCTTTTAGCTGAAAGTTTGATGGCCATGTGGTTAAAGTGTTAGACTTAAAATCAAATGTGACCTAACTTCAGAGGTTTAAACTCTACGCACAGTGATATCTCAATCTTAGAAAACTGTTTCTGTACAAACCTCTCAACCTACCCAGAATGTGTGGCTTTACATTATGCAGTGCAAGATGTTGGTTTCTTGTTTAAGTCAAGGACAAGCTGGACTTGAAATCCAATGGGACCTCCATGCACAGTTCAAATCCTACTCAGAGACTAGTTATACAGATCTCTCACAGTATGCTTTGTTTGATAGCCGTTGGCCCCAAACCTTTCATACACCGCATTCATGTCATATTAGAATTATTGTAATTAGGAGTTTCCAACTTGTACTTGTAGTGCTTTCATGTTGATTATTAGGAAAGAGAGAAACTCAGAGTCACACAAGCACAGCTTGTGATTGGGCCGAGTGGTTAAGGCGTTGGACTTGAAATCCAATGGGGTTTCCCCGCGCAGGTTCGAACCCTGCTCACAGCGTTAATTTAGCACCAATATGTATGACCTGTTCCTAGTATGTCATTCAAAGAATGAACTGAATTCCAATTGGACCTCCAAACAAATGTCCAATAGTGCTCCCATTCAAGTTACTATCATCGACTGGCTGAGTGCTGTTCGATAAAACTCACTTCATGTTACAACCTCTTGTTAGATCAAGTTATAGGTTATGATAATAACCTGTTAACTTAAATCGTAACTAGTGCTAATTTTGTCAAAATAAATACTAACCCATCCCTATCAAATCCTAACAATTGACTTACCTAGGAATTCACAGAGAGCAGCTGAAGTGCAGCCAGCTCAGAGCATCTCAAACAGTGAGACTCCAGGCCAGATAATGTGCACTCACTGTAGCAAGGACATTAATGTCGAACAGTTCTCACTTTCATGCAGAGGAATGTTGTGAGCAGTGTGGAAAAAAAGTCAGAGACGCAGTTCAGCTGCTTCATCATATGCATCCAAGTAGGCATCCACCACGACAACGACTTTGTCCACCACCCAACTGTTTTTTTTTTCACTGTCAAGACTTGTTGGGTGAGTTTTCTCTCCAAACAGTTCATGCGGGTCATCAAGCTAGCCAACTGAGAGTGGATTGCCCAGTGTCTTAACAACCCCACAGGACACCTGAGGCAACAGTTTTCCTAAAACTGGTTCCATCCACCTAATCCACCAAAGCCAATAACTGCACCACCTAATCCCATGACCTCTGTGGGCACCGATGTGGATGTGGGGTATTTCACTGAAGTGCCATCAGGGCAACACCAAGATGCACCAAGAAAGAAAGTAGCTCTAAGTTGAAAAAAAAAGCCACTGCCACCAAACTTTAAATGCAGAGTAGAGTCACATGTTATGGCCATGAAAGAGACCACCTACTAAATGAATGCTGTGTGAAGGAATCAACATTTTCCAGTTGAAATAGAGAATAAAAACAGGCTGTTTGATGGCCGAGTGCTTAAGGCGTTGGACTTGAAATCCAGTGGGCTTTTCCCACTCAGGTTTGTGCAACACCAATATGAACCACTC